ACACCTGCCCTTGTGTACATGTCTTAGGCTGATCACACCTGCCCTTGTGTACATGGCTTAGGCTGATCACACCTGCCCTTGTGTACATGTCTTAGTCTCCCTTGCTTTACAAGACTCTAATAAGCTTTTATGACTTTTAGTTGATTTTCTTGCATTTTCCAGCTTATCTACAAATAATGAGCATCCTGTTCATTCCTTTTTAATATGCATCTGTAGTCTGTTCTCTTACTGCAAAGTCAGGGCTTTTTAAAGTGGTATAGGTATTTTGGGAGGGATCTTAGTTTTTGGTGTTTTGTTTTTTTCTGAGACAAGAGTCATACTCTTGGCCTCATCCTAGGTCACAGCAACCTCAAACTCTTGGGCTCAAGTGATCCTCTTGCCTCAGCCTCCCAAGTAGCCAGGACTACAGGCACCTACCACAACATCTGGCCATTTTTTTTCTTTTAGTAGAAATGGGGTCTTGCTCTTACTCAGGCTGGTCTTGAACTGCTCAGCTCAAGGGATACCCCTGACTTGGCCTCCCAGAGTGCTGGAATTATAGGTGTGAGTCACTGTACCCAGCTAAAGTGATGTCTTTATCAAACAGTAATACAACTAGGCTTTTTTTTCTCCTGACCAGCTTTATCTCTAGTACAGGGAACCTTAGCCTTTATGGAGTCATAGATCCATGACTCCATGTCATGGACATGGACTATGATGAAAACATAGAACTTCTCCCTTCCTGGACCACATGCACATATGTATACCCCACAGACCTTCCCTCACCTTCATTTCAGCTGCATACCCCATTAAGTTGGTTTTGTTTAATTTATAGTTCATTATTCTTTTTTTCTTGAGACAGAGTCTCACTATGTCACCCTCAGTAGAGTGCTGTGGCATCACAGCTCACAGCAACCTCCAACTCTTGGGCTTAAGCAATTATCTTGCCTCGACCTCCCAAGTAGCTGGGACTATAGGCACCCATCACAATGCCTGGCTACTTTTTTGTTGCAATTGTCTTTGTTTTTTAGCTGACCTGGACTGGGTTCAAACCCTCTAGCCTCAGTGTCTATGGCCAGCACCGTACCCACTGTGCTACCAGGGCCACCAACTAATGAGTCGTTTCAAGTAACTGCCTTTTTTTTTTTTTCTTTTCTTGAAATAGTCTCACTTTATCACCCTCAGTAGAGTGCTATGTCATCATAGCTCACAGCAACCTTAAACTCTCGGGCGGAAGCAATTCTTTTGCCTCAGCCTCCCAAGTAGCTGGGACTACAGGCACCTGCCACAACAACTATTTTTTTATTTTTATGTTTTAATGCTTATTTATTTTATTTTATTTATTTATTTATTTATTTATTTATTTTTGAGGCAGAGTCTCACTTTGTTGCCTCTGGTAGAGTGCCATGGTGTCACAGCTCACAACCTCAAACTTTTGGGCTCAAGCAATTCTCTTTTCTCACCCTCCCAAGTAGCTGGGACTACAGGTGCCCACCACAGTGCCTGGCTATTTTTAGAGACACAGTCTCAATCTAGCTCAGGCTGGTCTCAAACTTCTGAGGTCAGGCAATCTGCCTGCCTCAGCCTCCCAGAGTGCTGGTATTATAGGCATGAGTCACCGTGCATGACCTCTGGCTATTTTTTTAGAGACGAGGTCGTGTTCTGGTTCAGGCTAGTCTCAAACTCTTGAGCTCAGGCAATCCACCCGCCTTGACCTCCCAGAGTGCTAGGATTATAGGCGTGAGCCACCCTGCCCTGTAACTGCTTTTTGTCACGTGCAGTTTTTTCCCCTTTTTATTCATCCTCATGTGCTCCTGTTTAAGTCAGCAATCAGCTTTAAGTTTCATCCTGCCTTTTCAGTGTCTGTCAAGGTGATCTCATAGTCTGACCTTGCAGCCATCGCAACTCTCTTAGTTACCTTCAGAGGCCTCCTGATGCTTACGTTTCTGGAGGAAATCCAGATGTCTATTATGCTTAGTTTTGTTTACTCTGCTACTTTATTTTATTGTTGTTAGAGATAAGGCCACACTCTATTGTCCAGACTGGAGTATGGTGTCATCATCATAACTCACTGCAGCCTCCAACTCCTGGGCTCAAGTGATCCTCCTACCTCAGCCTCCTAAGTAGCTGGGACAACAGGCAGGTACCATGCCTGCCTAGTTTTTTTTATTTTTGTTTAGAGTCTGGGTCTCACTGTGTTAGCCAGGCTGGTCTCAAATTCCTGGCCTATTCTGCTAGATTTAATCTGTATCTTATATAGGGCTTTATAACTTTTTTATAAGGAAAATCTAACTTGTCAAATTATTTTTCAAGCTTCTGGAGTTTTGCTATTCTGGGAAGCTTAGTTTCACCAGGAGAAACAATGCATAACTAAGCGGGGTTCACCCAATGTCTCACCTTTCTTTATATCAAAAGAGAATTTCTCATCAAACATAGCAAGATGAAATGATTAGTGCTGAGGAAAACATCGTTCCGCTTAACTTTTTTTCTTTTTTTATACAGGTTGAGGAACAAGTTAGCACCACTGAGAGAGTGTTTCAGGATAGACAGTATCAGATTGATGCTGCTATTGTCAGAATAATGAAGATGAGGAAGACTCTCGGCCACAATCTTCTAGTTTCCGAATTGTATAATCAGCTAAAATTTCCAGTAAAGGTAAATGTAGTATTAACATCATTATTAGTAGTATTTGTAGTATTGTGCTAAATAATTGATAAAATGTGTTTGGTTCAAACTTCAGAGCCATGTCATTTGATACAGTGCTCTGATCTTCTGTGCACACGCAGCCGTGGAAGCCCCTGGAGAGTAGGATTGAAGCCGGTCACTCAGCCGGTCATTCCATCACTGCTGTGGGTGATGGGGACCTGAGCTCCACTTCAGGGTGTCCACTTGCTCCAGCTGGCTTTTGTCGCCTCTCCCTCAGGGTGCCCTGGGCAGCTTGTGAAACACTGTCTCGTGGATGCTACTCTCTCCTGCCGCAGGCCAGGGCATGTGTTGTTGTACCCTCTGCAAATAAAGAGACTCAAAATTAAAAGACTTAACGGAGGAGCACAACAAAGCATGTGGCAGATCACCTGAGTCTGCTTGTATAGGGAGTTGGATTTGGGCCGTTTCTGGTGACACGTGTGCTGAGTAGAGTGCTGTGCTGTCTGAAGAGAGGGGCCTGCACTTGGGGGGAGCCTTGCTTATAAGGGCCAGTGTGGGTTCACTTCCCCAGAGGTTGGCGGGGACAGATAAGATGATGGCTCTGCATTCCTGGTTCAGTTATCTACTTTTAGGGAAGGGACACTCAGAATTTGTACTCACATAATGTAGCTATAGCATACATCAAAAACGTTTATTGGCCAGATGAGGTGGTTCATGCCCATAATCCTAGCACTCTGGGAGGCCAACATGGGTGGATTTGCCTAAACTCACAGGTTAGAGACTAGCCCGAGCAAGAGCAAGACCTCATCTCTAAAAATAGCCAGGCATTGTGGTGGGCACCTGTAGTTCCAGCTACTTGGGAGGCTGAGGCAAGAGAATTTCTTGAGCCTTAGAGTTAGAGGTTGCTGTGAGCTGTGACACCACAGCAGTCTACTGAGGGCAACAAAGCAAGACTCTCAAAAAGCAAAAAGAAAAAATACATGTATTAACAAATATTACCTGGGGAAGGTACCTCACAAAGGATAAAAATGCCCCAAAAAGACGTTACCAGATTTCCTTTCCAGACAAACAAAAATGTGTCACCTGATAGGATTGACCTTGTTTATGTGCTCATCACTGGGGGTAAAAAATGTATTTACATTTTACAAGTTTCACATTTCCCATGCTTTGACCAAACTGACATGGAAATGCTTTAGATGAAGAGATGTTAATACTGTGATTAATAGGATTTTAATATAAATGTGTCTATTTGTGTAAGTATATATGTATGAGGTATATATTTATGTGACTATAATTACATAATCTATGCATGATATTCTCCTATGTGTGTCAATTTAATGCCATTATCATTGAGGGTTTTGTTTATTTTGTTTTTCTTTCCAGCCTGGAGATTTGAAAAAGAGGATCGAATCCCTTATAGACAGAGACTATATGGAGAGAGACAAGGACAACCCCAATCAGTACCACTATGTGGCGTGACTGTCAGCAGACTGTTTCCTTTTTGTGAAACATTAGAATGTATCTCAGAGCAGTAAGCACGTCTGTGCGTGTCCAGGACTCTGTAACTGAACCAGCTGTGGATACTTGGGATGGGAAGGAAAGGAACCAGTTCCTGGACCATCCTTTGAAAGGCTCAAGGATTTTCAAAATGTATCCTTTTCCCCTCTAGTTCTTTTAGGCATTTAAATTGTTTCTATTGCTCTGTGCAAAATAACTTTGAGATTGGACAAGAAGATACTGGTTAAAACAAGTCCTTTATGAGGTTCTGTTCTTGTGGCAAACAGCTGACAGTTTGGTTTGCTTTTGTGTATATTCAGGAACGCACAATGAAAAAAACCCCAAATGCTGCAGTATTGCGTTGTAAAGATTACCTGGTAGTCCTGAAGACATGCAGTCTAGGTTGGTGAACGTTTAGAATGAAACAAGAATCCCTCATTGGTGAACATCAGGCAGAAACAGTGTCCAAAGCTGGTGAATCAATTATGCAAACTAAACCCCGGCTTCTGTGTGTTTCCTGTATTTCAGAAAGTTTTAAATTTTCACGACTGATTTTTCATAAATCAGGTTTCTAAGTGAGACCCTGATGTGCCAAGAGGATGCTGTGTCCGGCGTGTGTGTGTGTGTGTGTGTGTGTGTGTGTGTGGCCCACACGCCTGCGCTGTTCCCACTGAGTTAGTCAAGTATTTTCTGTTTAAAGGTTTGGGGGGTTAGTGTGTTTATGTTTCCATTCTAAGATTGAGTCTAGCAGTCCCTGTTTTTTGCATTGGGATAACTGCTGTTTGATTTTTTTAAATTGCAGTATTTGTATGATTGCTATGATAAAGTTTGGTTTGGTTTTTACAGTCGAGCCCAGGGACAGTTCTTGTCCTCTGCTGTACCACTGTAAAAAGTTCTATGAAGACTTGAAGTCTTGATGTTGTGAAGCAGAGGTTATTTTGTTGAAAGATTAAAAGGATTTTGTTGGTATACCTGGTTTCATGTTGTGTGTATATATATACATGAGGTTGAACAGCGAAATGAAAGTTCAGTAGTGATGTTAGTATGGTAACTATGGCAAAGATACTTTTGTGATAACACTTAAAAGTACTTTATATTTACATAATAGCATGTTTCACTTTGATTGAAAGCTACCAAAGGAATTTTGATCATGGTATAAAGAGTTTAAAGCAATATTTTCTGGAATATACCAAGTTTGTATAATTTGATTTTATGCTAAATTATTAAAAGATTCTCTTTTTTGAAACATGCATGTTCAGAATATGACACCTTATGGGTTCCCATATTAAAACTCTCACTCTTTAATTATCATCATTTCTATATTTGTGAATTTTCATTTGCGTTCCATGATATATGGTCTGTGAAAGATCAAACAAGTTTCTATTTCTGTTTCCTATATTTTAAGTTCATTGTGTCTAGAGATTGTTAATATTGTAATTTAATGTAGACTCCTTTGAATAAAATTAGTTTAATTGGCCTTAAAATTACATTAATAAAACTTTGTGATATGCAAATCTCAGAGTCTTCATAACTCCTTAGCAACTATTTATTTATTTATTTATTTAGAAACAGAGTCTCAAGCTTCACCCTGGGTAGAGTGCTGTGGCCTCATAGCTCACAGCAAACTCCAGCTTCTAGCTTGGGCTCAAGTGATCCTCTTTGCCTCAATTCTTCTATTTTTAGTAGAGATAGGGTCTCACTTTTGCTCAGGCTGGTCTCAAACTTGTGAGCTCAAGCACTCCACCTGCTTGGGCCTGCCAGAGTGCTAGGATTACAGGCGTGAGCCACCACGCTTGGCCTCATTAGCAACTTTAAACTAATTACTAGTATACCAGACGAAGAGAAGCCAGAAGCAAGGGACGCCTGTTACCCTCTCACGTGACTGTTCCCATAATCATCTCTACCACAAACTGCCAGTGAGGCCTGTCGGTGGGTCTCTCTTTTTTTTTGGCTGAGGCTGGATTTGAACCCACCACCCTACCCTTTTGACCCCAGTGGGTCTCTCTTCTTTATGGTCATTAAGAGCAGTACATGCATTTGTTTCTTACCTAGTCTCTTCTCAGTATCACTTAATGTTTTATTATAGTAAGGTAACTGTGGTAAAACAAATAGTGTAATGGAAATAATTGAAAAAGAAAAGGGACTAAAACAAGGAAAAACTCTTAAAATTGGAAGGGAGAAGGTGACATTATTTGCAAATTAGATGATTGTGTACCTGTGTGATCTGAGAGAAAGAAGTGAAAAGCTGTGACTTAAAAAAAGAATTCAGCGGGCTGTGAATAGGGTGCCAGCCCCATATACTGAAGATGGCGGGTTCAAACCTGGCCCCGGCCAAACTGCAACAAAACATAGCCAGGCGTTGTGGTGGGCACCCATAGTCCCAGCTACTCAGGAGGCTGAGGCAAGAGAATCACCTAAGCCCAAGAGCTGGAGGTTGCTGTGAGCTGTGATGCCATGTCACTCTACCAAGGGCAAGAAATTGAGACTCTGTCTCTTAAAAAAAAAAAAAAAGAATTCACCAAGTTAACTGTACACAAAACAATGGAAAAATCAATAAATGGCCTTCCCATAAATAGAGTATAGTAGAAGATCATTTTTCCAATAGCTGCCCCCAAATGATGAAGTACTTAGTAACAAACAGGGAAATATCTATATGAAAAACATTATAAAATTACTTACAAAAACAGTCCCTGGGCTCAGCACCTGTGGCTCAAGTGGCTAAGGCACCAGCCACATACACCTAAGGTGGCGGGTTCGAATCCAGCCTGGGCCCGTGTCTAGTACCTTAACATGGTTAACCTCTCTTTAACAAAGATAAGCCAATTCTAAAATGAAAATGGAAAAAGCAAATATGTAAAAATAGCCACAAGTCGTTTTAAAACATATCAACACAATGTAATTGAAAATGTCCATGTGTCCTGAGTGTAAGAGCGAAAAAAAAAAAA